TGTTTAGCCCCCCCACACACTAAATGTAACGTTTATCTACATTAATGTGATTTGAAGTGGGAATTTTCTGGCAATTAAACATTTGGAACCTGTCAAGTGCCTGTGCCGCTTAATTATTATCCATTTTATGTTCTTCTCAAATTATTACACATTTATTTCCCAACCAAATCTTTGGTTATAAATACCAACATTATTATTATTATACAATAAAAGGTAAATCAAGAACAGAAAAACTGGTGAAGTATCTGCTATATCATTTGCTCTGTTTTCCAACCATCAATGGCGGCTCGCAGAATCTCATCTCTTCTCTCTGCCTCCCTTCCCTTCCTTTCTCACCGAGGTACATGCTTACGTTAGCCAAAGATTGGATTTTTATTTAAATTTTTACATCTTAATCTTTCTTCTTTTTGGTTGCAAATGAGATTAATTAATCGTGCATGAAATTGGGGTCTCAGAAAAGTGTTTGATTGATCTAAAACATTTCTTATCTTCTTTCTTTCTTTATTTATTTTTATTTTTATTTTCTGAATTTTTGTGATCTTGGTGAAGAAAAGTTGATATACATATAATTCGGATAGAATTCTTACAAATTCTTACATCCGTACAGTTTTCTCTTTCATCATGACTAATCAATTTAGTTCTTCATGTATACTGACCAGCTTGTTTTTTTTTTTGCTATTAGATTTTTTTTATCAATGAGTAAACTAACAAGAATCGATTTGTTTTAGGAAAACAATCTTATCTGAGCAGAGGAATATACCACTACAGCAAATCGGCATCTCTAGATAATCCGATAAAGCCACCTGTCACTGTGCAGTACGATAAACTTCTAATCAACGGGCAATTTGTCGAAGCTGCATCGGGTAAAACTTTCCCAACATTGGATCCAAGAAGTGGGGAAGTGATCGCTCATGTTTCCGAAGGCGATTTAGAAGATGTTAATCGAGCAGTAGCTTCCGCACGCAAGGCATTCGATGAAGGGCCGTGGCCTAAAATGACTGCTTACGTAATAATAGATAGCCCTTTTGCTAATCTCATTCTTCGATTTTTTATTACTATCTAATTAATTTTGTTTAATTAATATATATTCAGGAGAGATCAAAGATTATGTTTCGGTTTGCTGATTTGATCGAAAAACACAACGACGAAATTGCTGCACTCGAGACTTGGGATAATGGGAAGCCGTTTGAACAGTCTGCAAAAATCGAAGTGCCTATGTTAGCTCGATTATTTCGTTACTACGGTGGTAGGTTTTTTTTTAAACATGCATTTTTAAAATTTATTTTTAAATACTTTATTACTTATTGAACAATTTCGATGTATGTAGGTTGGGCAGATAAGATTCACGGCCTAACTATACGAGGGGATGGCCCACATCACGTTCAAACTTTGCACGAGCCAATCGGAGTGGCCGGACAAATTATACCATGGAATTTTCCTCTCTTGATGTTTGCTTGGAAAGTGGGGCCCGCTTTGGCGTGTGGCAACACCGTTGTTCTTAAAACTGCAGAGCAGACGCCTTTGTCTGCACTCTTTGTATCGAAGCTATTGCACGAGGTAATGGTTTTTTTTTCAATTTTTTTTAGTAGTTTCGTTTTTATATATAAGTTTGAATTGCAATAGAATTTATCGATTTTTTTTAATGCTAATGTTGATAAAACAAAATTAAATAGGCTGGACTACCTGATGGTGTTCTGAATGTTGTTTCTGGATTCGGGCCGACAGCTGGCGCTGCTCTTTGCAGCCATATGGATGTGGACAAGGTAAAAAATTATGAATTTAATCGTGGAAAACGATTTTATGGGTTTTTTTTTTTTTGTTAAATACGGTTAATATTTTCTTTTAATTTTTTTTTTGCATTTTCAGCTTGCTTTCACTGGTTCGACGGAAACTGGTAAACTAGTTCTTGAGTTGGCTGCGAAAAGCAATCTAAAGACAGTTACTCTAGAACTCGGTGGAAAATCGCCTTTTATTGTTTGCGAGGATGCTGACGTGGACAAAGCTGTTGAGCTGGCACACTTTGCTCTATTCTTCAACCAGGGGCAATGCTGCTGTGCTGGCTCAAGAACATTTGTGCACGAGAAAGTCTACGATGAGTTCGTTGAGAAAGCTAAGGAACGGGCCTTGAAACGGGCCGTGGGCGACCCGTTTAAGGCGGGCATGGAACAAGGCCCTCAGGTAGTAAAACTTCTTTTTAGCATTCGACATTTGATCATTAATTAGTATAAAGTATAAACATTAATATTACGAAAAAATGTCAACGTTAGATCGATGGAGAGCAATTCAAGAAGATCTTAAAGTACATTAAATCCGGTGTGGAATCGGGAGCTACCCTTGAAGCTGGTGGTGATCGATTTGGGACGAAGGGTTATTATATTCAGCCCACTGTTTTCTCTAATGTCAAGGTACAATTTTGTTTTAATTTTTTTTTAATAAAAGAGTATTCGATAAATAAAAATCCTGTCTTTACTGATGTTTTGTACGGCAATACTCGTTTCTAGGATGATATGCTGATTGCAAAGGATGAAATCTTCGGCCCAGTTCAAACCGTTTTGAAGTTTAAGTACGTTACATAATGTATATATATTGTCTTGATTGTGAAATATTTGAATTATAATGCTTAACTTTGTATTTAAAAAAAAATTATAGGGAACTCGGTGAAGTGATTCGAAGAGCAAACAATAGCCCGTTTGGACTAGCAGCGGGAGTATTCACTCAGAATCTCGACACCGCAAATACATTGACACGGGCTTTGAGGGCCGGGACTGTGTGGATTAACTGCTTCGATACTTTCGATGCTGCGATTCCTTTCGGTGGATATAAAATGAGCGGAATCGGAAGAGAAAAGGGTGAATACAGTTTGAAGAATTACTTGCAAGTCAAGGCTGTAGTTACTGCTCTCAAAGATCCCGCATGGCTGTGAAATCTCGAAATACTTTTCGATTAATAAATTCTGCTGAAATAGCAAAGAATCGGATGACGACGAAGACAAAAAAAAAGGATCCTTACCTTGTTTCATTAGCAGTGTAATTTTTTCGTCCTTCTGAATAATTATCGATGCTAGAGTTTATAATCCTCTGTTTATTTAGTCGAAATCTTTTTCAGAGACTATCGAAATAAAAGACTTTCTTGACTTGATTATGCACTTCCTTTGTGTATATATGTTGTCTAAAATTCAATAGTAAAGAATCAAGAATTTAAAATTCGACTAACTGGAATTGCATTCTCGAGGCAGAACTTTGTATCGGGACTTATCTTGGCAATAGGAGTAAAACATGTGCTTCCTTCTAGCCCAATCCAATCCTGCTACCTCTTGGCTCGATAACTTTGCGAATTGTTCTCCATCGACAGGGTCTAAGCTCGAAGGGCTACCCCTTAAACACGAGGTGGCCGTTATTTCCTTCTGATTTATGACACACCCCTCCATTTCGATTCCTCTCATGGATACTACAAAAGGGGCAAAATTGTAATTAACGGGGTATTTTCCTCCACGAGTTGCCCATTCGGATCCATCCCAGATTGTGGCGTAAACCGACATTGCCTTTGATGGATAAACCGAGGCGATTGCGTTACTGTGAACCACTTCTCTTACAGGTATGTTGTCCACCAAGAACCTGTCAATTTTTTTTTAATTTTATTAATAACAATTAGTAGTTTAAGAATGTAAGAAGATTGAAAGAAAAAAAAAACAAGAAATGCACGATAAAAGCGATTTTTATTACACAATATGATGATTGTTCCAGAGGATGCTGTAGTTGTGGAAAGCTTGCGTGGGATCGAACCATAGGTAGAATTTCTCTTCTCGACCGGTGCTTACACTTCCGTTTCCGTATATGTTCGTTTGTAGGACCCACTCCTTTCTTTTTTCGTGACCCAAAAGTTCGATATCTATTTCGTCATGGTTGTGAGGGAAAGCATCTGCATTCGATAACTGTCGAAAAAAGAAAAAAAAAGTGGGAAAAAAGATCAGAAATTCACCACAAAATGGCATTTCTTGATTTTCATTACATGTATTGTTTTCTCAAGACATAAAAGAATTACATAGTATGCCACCACAACTCCTGATGTAAAACCGGCCGGCAGTTTTAGAGCAGCGTTGAAGAATCCGTAGTAGTATTTGTTCTTCGACACCAATCCCGATCCTATAATATCAAAAAACACATCAATCAAAAATCGAGAAGATGCTTCTTACAATACCGTTTTCTTTTTTCCCGTGTGACGTTAATATTATTACCTGAGGATTTGTCCAAACTTAGATCAGCATTGGTCCCATTATTCGGCACGTGAATATTAGACCCTCCAAAGAAAACGTCGTAACTTTTATTAACCGATACTTGATTAAAACGATCGGTCAATCGTTCGACATCTGGAGGCGTATAAACCGGGCCGCTCGAGTATACATTGACTATCTTGCAGAAAATGAAGAGACTTGTGAAGAAAAATCTGCAGTGGAAAATTGCCATGTTTTTTGAAGTATAAATGTTATGGAGCTATTTAATTTGCTTATATTTATATATATTTATACCTAACTATGTTGCAATAAGGTTAGTTGAATTCTTGCTTAGTTGTTGCAAGCTGGCTGTAATATTTTCCAAGAAATCCCATTTGATTTATCAAGTGTTAACAAGAATCCTTGGACACTAGTTACAAGTTCATGTGCGTTGATTGAGTTATGACATGTTTGGTGGGCCATGTTGTTCCTATTTCTTGATTAGTCCATGTTAGAGATTCGGACTTGTTCATCGAGTTATACCATATCGTATATCTGTATAGATCCATATATATATATATATATGATTTTACACACATTCACGCGTGTAATCTAATTTCCTAATAACTTCGTCCTTTGGCTTCAACTTCTCAACTCGAGTCTCCAATTTATACGAACATATGTTGCGATGATCGACCTCCTTTTTGGATGAGCAAGCTCAGCGACTTCCTTCCTCTAACAAACTTCCCAGCCTATATATAATGCTTCTTGAGCCTTCAGCCCAACCAATTCGTCTAGGCTCTTATCTGTATTATTCATTGGGCCTATTTTCAGGAAGCTCGACTCAAGTTTGCTAAATTGGTCCCAATCAGACGAAATAATATATTTGTATTTAGGGTAAATTACAACCACTCCTGAGGTATGGTAAAATTACAAAACCCCCCTCCTGTTTGAGTAATTACAACAACCACCCTCAACTATAAATTTTCTTACACGTACACCCTTGCAGTTTCAAATTTAGTGGAATCTTGTTGATTATATGGACTATTGTCACTTTTGTACCCGTTTTATCCTATTCGAACTCCACATTTTGAAGCAAGAGGATCATAAAAATGTGTCTTTTGGCTTGTATATATACCAGATTGTGGTGCATCAGAAACTGTATTTTTTCACAAAACGAGTACAAACTGGAGCACATTCCACGGAATCTAGATGATTATGTTGAATTTAACACTATGAGGGTGGAAGTGTAAGAAGATTCTTAATTGAGGAGTAGATGTAATTATCAGGGGTCGCTGTAATTTAGCCTTGTATTTAATACGTGTCAAATTAACCATGGTTGGGTGAAATGGACCGCCGAAAATCTCTTAAATGGCTTTTATTGGCTAATCATTTCAACCTCCATTTGTCTGTTTCCAAACAGCTGTTATTTGGTTTCATGTCTCATGACCCGCTGCCAAAATGGGCCAATTTTGTGCAAGAAACTATTTTTATTTTTATTTTATTTTATTTTATTTATTTATTTTATTTTTGTTTCTGTTTCTATATATAATTGAGTGCAATAATACAAAACAAACGCGCTTTTAGGCCTTCCCTCTAAAACCCCTCGTGTCATTTTCATGTCTAAAGAAGGCTCTTTTTTGCAATTTTTGAATTTCTTTATAAGGAGTTTTAAATTTCATTTTTCGATTTTAAATTAAAACTTTATGGTTTACGGTAAAAGTAAATAAACGCAAACTTATGAACGGGAAAATGTGGTCTTCCTTTTAATATGATCTGTCACTTTTGAATAAGGTTTTTTTTTTTTTTTCCATATATTATCTTTCACCGTAGAATTCAGATACTGCATCAATTACATATTTATCAATTATGCCCTTATTAACTCCCCCAGCATTCCATCTGCATTAATTAGTTAACAAGGATATTTTTGTCTAACAATACATATTTTCTTAAAATCATGATATATTTATTGAGTTTCTTAAGATTTGTGCAAATATGAAAAACGACACCTATTCAGAATAAGGTGTAGTGATCTATTGGGCCATTTATTGGGCCTTCAACACAACTAATCAGTAAAATGACAGTATATATTAGGCAAATATGGGCCCACTTCTTTGAGCCCGAGTTAAAGATAATTTGCAGGACCTGGGCCCGTTACTAAGCCCAATAACAAGAATACCGCGCTTCGTCGTAAAATATGTTCCTTCTAATTTCAAAATTATTAAAATATATATATATATATATTAAATAAATACACACGTCGTTGTCACAAAACATACTAAAACCCAATGAATTAGCAATAATTGGCAATAAAAAAACCCGATTAAATTAATCATCCACTCGTCTTCATTACCTTATGCATTTGATTATATATTGATTACAAGCTCGTTAATCATTATTTGCTTTGGTTAATTAATAATATATGTAATGAATTGACGTTAATTTAAGCCATATAATAATGTACTAAGAAGAAGAAGAAGAATAAAAAAAATAAAAAAAAATCCATTGCCTTAGATCACACGGTTAGATTGCAGCGTAAAATAAAACGAATAATAATAATAATAAATAATAATGCATGTCGGCGAGTTCACTCCATAATAGTCGCATTACGTGTCAATATCTGATTATCCAGCACGGAATTTCCAGGAAGCCCACTTTTTCAAAATCCCATAAACACCCCCGGCCCCCATATCTAAGGCCATTTACTACCACTAGATTTCAGTCAACCCACCACATGCCAACACGTGTCCCTAGCTACACTACCCAACCGCCAACTATATATACAGCCAACCGCCACAATAAAATTAAAAAAAACCAGACACACACTTCCACACACAACAAAGTTTCCAAAGTTCAAAAAAGTCATTACATAGATCTACCTCTTTGTTTTCTTCTGTTTCTTTTTTTCTTGATATTTAATTCCTCGTTCAATGATAAGTAAATCAAACGAGTTCACTCGCCGGATTTTGCATTTACCGGCGATTCGTCCGTGCGAATCGGTTTCTCTCTCTACTCTCGTCACTTCTCTCATCAAATTAGCCCACTCAATATGTTCCTTCAAATCCAAAACCTTCTTCACAAACAAGAAGAACGCATCGGTTTCGATCAAACTGATCGAAACCCTCCTCGTTTTTCTCCAAGAGATCCGAAACACGAATCCAACAACTTCCGAACCCTCCACCTTCCTCTGCTTGTCGGAGCTCCATTTCGTCTTCCAGAAGGTTCTCTTCCTTCTGGAAGATTGCTCGAGAGCCGACGCCCGTCTCTGGATGCTGATGAAATCCGAAAAGGCGTCGGCTCATTTTCGCGAGCTTATGAGAGCGATCGCAATTGCTTTGGATGTTCTTGATCTTGTTGGTGGTGGTGGTGATAATGAAGTACAAGAATTGGTGGACTTGGTAAAGAAACAAGCACTAAGAGCAAAATTCGATGTGGGAAAGGATGACCGAAGAGCCGTCAGAACGGTTCTTCGGGTCATCGATCAATTTGAATGGGGAATCGCTCCCCAATCAAATGATCTGAAAAGGGTTCTCGGTTACTTGGGAATCGCAACTTGGAACGAGTGCAACGACGAGGTCAAATTATTGGAAGCCGAAACCGAGCGAGAGTACGAGACTTCTCAGAAAAGGGATGTCCAATTTCTCACTAGTCTAAAGGCTTTCTTGATCTTCTGCAGGTGCACTGTTTTCGTCGACACTAACGACAATGTTGTCGTACAACAACAGTTTGCAGGTAGCGATCAGACGATCGTTACCTGTCTGAAAAGCGATGATTTCCGGTGTCCAATTACACTGGAAATCATGGCTGATCCGGTTACAATCTCGACCGGTCACACATACGACCGATCATCGATATCGAAATGGTTTGCATCGGGAAACCGGACGTGCCCGATAACCGGGGAGAAGCTCGTATGTGTGGATCTGGTTCCGAATCTCGCTCTAAAGCGGCTCATAAAGCAGTTTTATTGTTGCGGAAACGGAACCGCATTTGCCGCACACGACTTAACTATTACAAAGTCGTGTGGGGTCGTAATTAGTAGTTTAGCAGCCGAGCAGGCGACGAAGCAGCTGGCGAATTTTCTTGTTTTCATGCTTCTTTCCGGAACGAGCGACGAACGGAACAAAGCCTCATACGAGATCCGTCTGCTCACCAAAACAAGCGTTTTTAATAGATCTTGTTTGGTCGAAGCGGACGCGATCCCACCTCTATTGAGTCAACTGATTTCAATCAATCCAGCGTCGCAGGAAAACGCAATGGCGGGACTATTGAACCTCTCAAAACACTCCAAGGGCAAAAAGGTCATAGTCGAAAACGGAGGATTGGCCCGAATAGTCGATACACTAAACAACGGCCTCAAAATCGAAGCCCGCCAGCACGCAGCGGGTGCATTGTTCTACCTCGCTTCGGTCGAAGACTATCGGAAAAAAATCGGCCGAATTACCGATACTGTCCCTGGCCTAATGGGGTTACTCAGGGGCAGAACGGTCAGCGGGAAAAAGAACGCGTTGGCGGCGATTTTGGGCCTACTTATGCACCCGGAGAATCATTGGAGGGTGCTATCAGCTGGATTGGTCCCATTTTTGGTTAAGAATATTCTTTCCGAATATTCCGTTGAAAGGGAAGATGATCTTGTTACAGATTCGTTAGCGGTTTTGGCTACACTCGCCGAGAAACTCGACGGAGCAATGGCGGTTTTGAGCGCCGGGGTTTTGCCGGTGATTTTGGATATTATTACGAGCGCGTCAAAATCGAGGGCGGCCGGAGAATACTGTGTTTCTCTGTTGCTGTCACTGTGCGTTAACGGCGGCGCTGACGTGGTCGGTCTTCTAGTGAGGAACTCGCCGTTAATGGCGGCGCTGTATTCATTGCTGGCTGACGGGTCGACCCGGTCCAGCAAGAAAGCCGGTTCGCTGATCGGGATTTTGCACGCTTTCAACGAGAAGAGCAGATTTTCGTCTTCTTCGGCTGCTATTGGTCAAGAACAATTCGTTCGTGTGTGGTAATCGATTTTTTTTGGTATTACCACACTTTAATTCTTTTAATTATTTATTTAACAAGCGTATACTAATACTAAATGTGTATAAAAATACGTATATGATTGTTTTATTTATTTATTTATTGTGACAGAAAAGCTCGATTTTTATATGAGCTGGTCACCGAGGTGCCTCTGTTTTTTTAGTGACGAGGCAGTGTGCAATAATTGTTTGTATTATAGTTATTTTTTATTTAATTAATTTAAAAATCTCGAATTATATATATTTGATTATTTTGTACTTAATAGTTAATTCCACAATTCAATTGGCCATGAAACAACAAAACGGACACGGGAAAATGACATGTCTTGAAAATTGAGATGCGAGAATTTTGGGGGAAAAATATAATTATTAAAAGTATAGGGATATTTATGAATATGCTATATAAACATATATAATTTTTTTATTATATATATTTCTATAAAAATATATTCAAGATAAATACTATGGTTAATTATCAGTTTGCAATTAATTATTAAATTATCTAATTAATTAGAGAAACAACAACTACATTTTGAAATTTGCTACCCGAACATGTTTCTAACTTTTCATAAATTGCAAAATGATCCATAAGATCCGACGGATGTCCTCAAGGGCTGGATATGAAATGTGTGCGAAACACGAATACGTTATACATACGTATGTAGGGATAATGTTTTTGTCATTTAATCGGATAATTAAATTTTTTATTTACTTATAATCAGAAAAATTCAGTAAAAAATTAAAAATATTATTATAATTCAGAATATACGAGTAATTATATAAACCCCCCAAAACCAAAAATATCGAGCCAAAAGTTCGTTTCTTTTTAGCCCTCACAAAAACCCCTTCGACGTGATTACGCCGCAAGCTACCCAGCCGTCGGTTGCGCCGCCCTATAGACGGCGCCGGAGATCAGTTCCGTGGTGTAAGATTCTCTTTCTCAGTAGCATTTATCGTTCGAACTGAAATTGCCCTAATTTTATGTTGTGCATGTGGAGTTGGAAAGTGAAGATTTCTACATTTCGGATTTTTCTTTCTGGCGATCAGCTTCTTTTGTATTGAATTTGAATTCGTAATAATTCGTACAATATCGAAGGAACATCTGTAGATTTCCAGTTTTGATTATTCTCAACAGAGAAGTGCGTAATCACACAACGTCTAGTTATGTATTTGAAATTTAGGCGGCGATGCTTGTTTGTATAATTCCATTGAATTGATAAATCATTAGTTCGATTTCTCTGGTTTTAATATTAACTTGACAATTTAACCAGGAATCTTGTTTCCCCTCTTTTTCAATTTGCTATTATGTTAGTTTGCAGTCAGGAAATCAATGAATGAAGGTTTTCTTTGAAAATATTTGATAGGAGTTGAGAATGGATTCCTCCCATCGTCGAACCCTTACGGTTTCTCAGAAAAATCCAGAAGAAGGTGGTGGGGGTTGGTATTTCTCTAAGAAGGAAATCGAAGAAAATTCCCCTTCTAGACAAGATGGTGTTAGTTTGGAGAACGAGACTTTTCTACGCTGGTCTCATTCGAATTACTTACAAGATTTGGGCAAGCTGCTAACAGTGTAAGTTCCTTTTCTTGAATTTGCATGTTTTTTTAATAGTTTAAAATTTCTTCTGAGAACACTCCTCTTTGGTTACCGATTCTTGAAAATACAAGATCTATTGATGGATTGCGGTGCTTATATTTATTTCGATCCGTAGAATCTAAATATCAGCTCTTGGTTTATTCGTTGGTTTCTACTTTGTTTATGCTGTAATGATAAGTATTGAACGATAATAGCTTTCCTTTATGGAGACACTTTCTGATAGAAGTACTATTTCTACGTCTGTGATGATTTCTTTGTACTGTGTTCTGCTATAGTTCTTCTGTCATCCAACAGCTTTTCTATTTTGCCATCAAAATTATAAATTAGTTTCTTTTGCAGTTTATCTAAGTAATATGCTAGATGCTTCATCGGCAGGCCTCAGTTTACGATTGCGACAGCAATTCTATACTTCCAACGCTTCTTTCTTCGCCAGTCCCACAAGAAAAACAATGCTGGGGTGAGTTAACTTTTGTTTCTCTTTACTATCGACTATCTACGCTAGTTGATAGAAATGTTTTGATAAGTTGCTTCTGTTGATAAGGACAAGATTGCATACTTAACAGAATTTGTTGTCCTTTGGCTGTCTGTCTGCAATATAAAAACATGCTCAGTTTGTCATGATGTTTATTAAACTCTCTCCATTCAAACAACTATTTGGTGTTTTGTTACCAAGAAGGGCCATATACTATACTCGTAATAACAAAGTCTGAGTGGTTGATTGATTAGGACAGCTGAGATAGACAATGTTAGATTGATAAATATTCTTTTCTTTCCATCCTTTTTAATGACTCATGATTGAAATTCTTGTATTTGACTTGTTTACCTATTTTGATGCAGATCATTGCCATTGCATGTATGTTTCTTGCCGGTAAGGCTGAAGAAATATGTTATCCTGTAACTAAGTTCGTTCTTTCGGCTTATAAACTTCGACATAGAAGTGAAGCTGTGCCACTCAGCAGGGGGCAGAGGGTACTACTGCTTGAGCCCAATTCCTTTTTTTTTTCTTATTGATTATTGACCTTCTATTCCTTTTTTATGGATGTCCGTTGGCTATAAATGAAAAACTTGTAAAGCATTCAAGCCTCTACAAAGTTTGATTTTTGTATATATGAGTGGTGCATCAAAAGAAATGCCTCTCAAGTACTTGTAATCGGTTTTATGAGTGGTGCATTAAAAGAAATGCCTCTCAAGTACTTGTTATTTGATGGTCTATTCTCTGCCCAGGTATCATCCGAGGAATCTGAATTTATATTATTGCATTGGGAGGAATGTAAAAAACTAGAAAAAATAATTTTTCTAGCAGAAAGGGTTGTGTAGACGCATAAAATTAATTAATTGGTTAATTAAATTAGCCAATTAAATTGTGTCTAAATTAAATTATAATTTATCTTGCAAAATAAGTTATGGAGATAATTATCAATTAATTATTGGCCAATAGGATTATTTCTTCTCTTCCAAGTTAGAAGAGATAAATATCAATTTAAAGAGAGCCAATCAAATCGCGCCACGTCATCAAGAAGACTTTGTGTAGGACTCTTATTCTACCACTATAAATAGGGACCCTCCCTACACAATTCAAAACACAACTCAAGAAGAAGAAAAATTGTAGGAGAAAATTCTCTCTACAATACTCAAGTCATTCTTCATCAAATTCAAGTCGTTCTTCATCAAATCGAGGGTGTTCTTCAACAAATCGAGGGTGTTCTTCAACAAATCAAGATCGAAGGAAGATTGAAGGGCCAAATGCATCAAGAACTCCAAGATCTTGAAGTCAAAGCCCGTCAAAGTTCAACAAATCAAGATCGAAGGAAGATTGAAGGGCCAAACCCATCAAGAAGTCCAAGATCTTCAAGTCAAAACCCGTCAAAGTTCAGCGTTCGATCCGAGATTCAAGTCGCAAGACCCTCGGAAGACGTTATTCAAATCCAAATCAAATCCGGAGAAGATCAAGTCAACGACCCGACTCCGAAATTCAAAGTCAAACGCATATTGTTCTTGAGAGAAGAATCAGAGGATTAAATTAGAGTTTGTTACCCGCAATATTTTATTTTAATCTAATAAATTATCTTTGTGCAAATTTTTCTTGTTTGTCTAAATCGCAGATAAGAATTTGTTGTTACAAATTTTGGCACGCCCGGTGGGACATCTCTACCTCTCATCTCTTCTCTCTCTCGAAGATCCTCGAAGTGTTGCAGCTGCAAGCATCCTCCGAGACTAACTCGACGCCTCAAACCATTCAGAATTGCTTACCACCTCTTGTCAACACAAGCGCAGACGTGGAAGGTTCAAGACGAGAGATTTCACAGCTCACGCCTCGTTCAACATCAAGCTACTCAGAGGTGGCATCCGTCATGACAACAAACGCTACAACCATGGAGGAGCAAATTGCAAGTTTGACAAAGGCAATTGAGGGACTCACAAAGCATGTTCAACAACGAGATTCTCAAATTGCCGAGTTGATCAACAAGATGGACAAAGCCGATGCTAGTCAAGCTGTGGAGAATCAGATAGAAGTTCAAGACGAAGTCGAGACATCCACAAAGCAACAACCAGTTGAAAACGAGAAGGCTCCAGCTCAAGAACTTCAAGTTTCTCCAGAAGGGATGATTCATGTAGATCAAGTGATGACGCTGATCAGTGGAACCATCAAAGACAAGTTGGAAGGAAGCTCGAAGTCTCCATCAACCTATGTCAAGCCATACACGCAAAGGATTGATGATCTAAGGATGCCAATGGGCTATATACCTCCAAAGTTTCAACAATTTGACGGTAAAGGCAACCCCAAGCAACATGTGGCACACTTCGTCGAGACTTGCAATGATGTCGGGACGTACGGAGATCACCTCGTCAAGCAATTCGTCCGATCGCTCAAAGACAATGCGTTTGATTGGTACATTGATTTGGGGGCAAACTCCATCGATAGTTGGAAGAACTTAGAGGAAGAATTTCTCAACCGCTTTTACAGCACTCGAAGAACAGTCAGCATGATTGAGCTCACCAATTCCCGCCAGTGGATGAAAGAACCTGTCATCGACTACATCAACCGTTGGAGAAATTTGAGTCTTAATTGCAAGGATCGACTGTCTGAGACATCAGCTATTGAACTGTGCATCCAAGGAATGCAATGGGGACTCCGATATATCCTTCAAGTAATTCAACCTAAAAGTTTTGAAGAGTTGGCCACTCGAGCACATGATATGGAGTTGAGCATACTTGCAAATCAAATTGAAGAACCACCATTCCAAAAGCCGTACCAGCTCAATGAAGAACATATTGAAGAAGAACAAGAAGATCATGAGGATGGGGACAAGTCTTTTGAGGAACCAACACCCTATGCAATATGACAAGTCAAATCAAGTGAAACACTCCTTGACACGAGTTTAAAAGGTCTACATGTCCAAATCAAATGAAGCACTCCTTGACACGAGTTTAAAAGGTCTACATGTCCAAATCAAATGAAACACTCATTGACACGAGTTTAAAAGGTCTACATGTCCAAACCAAATGAAGTACTCCTTGACACGAGTTTAAAAGGTCTACATGTCCAAATCAAATGAAGTACTCCATGACACGAGTTTAAAATGTCTACAAGTTCAAATCAAATCAAGGCTCCTTGATACGAGCATAAACTATCTACATATCCAAGTCAAATCAAGGCTCCTTGATACGAGCATAAACTATCTATATATCCAAATCAAATCAATGCTCCTTGATACGAGCATAAACTATCTACATATCCAAGTCAAATCAAGGCTCCTTGATACGAGCATAAACTATCTATATATCCAAATCAAATCAATGCTCCTTGATACGAGCATAAACTATCTACATATCCAAGTCAAATCAAAGCTCCTTGATACGAGCATAAACTATCGATATATCCAAATCAAGTCAAGGCTCCTCGATACGAGCATAAACTATCTATATATTCAAATCAAGTCAAGGCTCCTTGATACGAGCATAAACTATCTACAAATTCAAGTCAAATGCTCTTTCAGCACGAGCTTAAACTGCAAATGTTTCTCCTTGTCCACATGAGTATAAACTGTGCATGACATCCCTCAGAAGGATATATTTTGAACTACGTTATGACTTGATCCCTTTATAGGGTACGTAGGCAACTTTGAATCTCTCTAAGTTCAGTCATGATTTCAAAAGATATATGTTCTTTGCTAGATCAAGCTGCAATCAAAGTTGAGCAATTATCGAGACTCATCCACTCCAAGATGCATTGTCCGTGAACAAGTCTCGAGGGGGCATTTGTAGACGCATAAAATTAATTAATTGGTTAATTAAATTAGCCAATTAAATTGTGTCTAAATTAAATTATAATTTATCTTGCAAGACAAGTCATGGGGATAATTATTAATTAATTATTGGCCAATAGGATTATTTCTTCTCTTCCAAGTTATAAGAGATAAATATCAATTTAAATAGAGCCAATCAAATCGCGCCACGTCATCAAGTAGACTTTAAGTAGGACTCTTATTCTACCACTATAAATAGGGACCCTCTCTACACAATTCAAGACACAACTCAAGAAGAATAAAAACCGTAGGAGAAAATTCTCTCTACAATATTCAAGTAGTTCTTCATCAAATTCAAGGCGTTCTTCATCAAATCGAAGGAGTTCATCAAATCGAAGGTGTTCTTCATCAAATCAAGGCGTTACATCGTTTAATTCGAGATTACGGTGCTAAACCCTCGAATTAACGTTATTAAGATCCAAGTCAAATCAAGGCTCCTTGATACGAGCATAAACTATCTACATGTCCAAATCAAGTCAATGCTCCTTGATACGAGCATAAACTATCTATATATCCAAATCAAATCAAGGCTCCTCGATACGAGCATAAACTATCTATATATCGAAATCAAGTCAAGGCTCCTTGATACGAGCATAAACTATCTACAAATTCAAGTCAAATGCTCCTTCAGCACGAGCTTAAACTGCAAATGTTTCTCCTTGTCCACATGAGTATAAACTGTGCACGATATCCCTCAAAATGATATATTTTGAACTACGTTATGACTTGGTCCCTTTATAGGGTACGTAGGCAACTTAGAATCTCTCTAAGTTCAGTCATGATTTCAAAAGATATATGCGCTTTGCTAGATCAAGTTGCAATTGAAGTTGAGCAATTATCGAGACTCATTCACTCCAAGATGCATTGTCCGTGAACAAGTCTCGAGGAGGCATTTGTAGACGCATAAAATTAATTAATTGGTTAATTAAATTAGCCAATTAAATTGTGTCTAAATTAAATTATAATTTATCTTGCAACATAAGTTATGGAGATAATTATCAATTAATTATTGGCCAATAGGATTATTTCTTCTCTTCCAAGTTAGAAGAGATAAATATCAATTTAAAGAGAGCCAATCAAATCGCGCCACGTCATCAAGAAGACTTTGTGTAGGACTCTTATTCTACCACTATAAATAGGGACCCTCCCTACACAATTCAAAACACAACTCAAGAAGAAGAAAAATTGTAGGAGAAAATTCTCTCTACAATACTCAAGTCATTCTTCATCAAATTCAAGTCGTTCTTCATCAAATCGAGGGTGTTCTTCAACAAATCGAGGGTGTTCTTCAACAAATCAAGATCGAAGGAAGATTGAAGGGCCAAATGCATCAAGAACTCCAAGATCTTGAAGTCAAAGCCCGTCAAAGTTCAACAAATCAAGATCGAAGGAAGATTGAAGGGCCAAACCCATCAAGAAGTCCAAGATCTTCAAGTCAAAACCCGTCAAAGTTCAGCGTTCGATCCGAGATTCAAGTCGCAAGACCCTCGGAAGACGTTATTCAAATCCAAATCAAATCCGGAGAAGATCAAGTCAACGACCCGACTCCGAAATTCAAAGTCAAACGCATATTGTTCTTGAGAGAAGAATCAGAGGATTAAATTAGAGTTTGTTACCCGCAATATTTTATTTTAATCTAATAAATTATCTTTGTGCAAATTTTTCTTGTTTGTCTAAATCGCAGATAAGAATTTGTTGTTACAGGTTGTTCTTACAACACTTGATTTTGATCTCAATGTACAACATCCATATAAACCCCTTGTTCAGGCAATTAAAAAATATGAGGTTGCTCAAACAGTCTATCAAGGTGCATGGAATTTCGTCAATGATCAGTAAGTAATAGTATACTGTAATCCTTGTTTTAGTTTAAGTTCTTAGTCATAGCCATTCTACCTTTTCTTGCTTTCTGACCCAAGAAGCCTCTGCAGGTTTCAAACATCTCTATGCTTGCAATTTAAGCCCCACCAAATTGCCGTAAGTGCTATCTTATTTGCCGCCGCCAATATTTGCGGAGTGGAAGTTCCGTCTGAGTTGAAAAAGGTCTGGTGGAAGGAATTTCATGTCACCCGACAGCAATCGGAGGGTTGGTGCCTTGCCTTCCTTGGAGGAAAAAAAAAATGTTTCGAAAAAAAAAAACGGTGAAAAATGTTTTGCATGTTACATAATATGATATTTAACGATCATTTTGTTCTTTTAACTGAACGGATTTTGCATTGCAGAGATTACCAAGCAAATGTTAGAGTTATACAAACAAGAAAGAGCACCCAAATCCAAGGCTAGTGAAGCAGAAGGGAGCGGTGTAGGCAGTGAGAGTGGACCACCTTTGGTAGAGCTTGCTAATGAAGAACAAACACGAGATACAGTACAAGTGAAGGATGGTGAAATTCCCTCCAGTAAGGACGGTACAGTTGCGCAGTTGACTCGAGATGCTGCTTGCAAGAAGCTTGACGTGGAGAGGCTAAGAGCGGCCTTCAAACGGACAAAAGCTCTTAGAGGGGGCAGACCTCTTAAAGTGGACCCCAAGGATGAGATCGAGAGATTACTAGAGGATATTGAATTGCCTGGTCAGAGCGAAAAGACTGAACACGAAACAAAGCAAAAGTCGTACTCGTGTGAAGATGACTTGGAAGAAGGAGAAGTAGGACCGTCTGATATGGAATGTTTTTCACCCACATCAAGCACAGACAAGACTAAGCCAGGTGGTTCGTTGGATGTGCCAGGGGAAGGAAATCAACGGTCCGATTCGTAGGAAGACATGGCTATTTCCAATCGGTTTTTGACCTATTGTTGGAAATCAAGAAGATTCCGGGTACGATGATTTGCTGTTCATATACAAAGATTAGATATATTGATCAATTCATGTATATAACTTTCAATATTACCAAATTCATACATACACTATAGATTTCAATATTAGTCTCAATTGAAATGGAGGATGGGTCTAAACTCTAACTAATTGTAGATTTCTAGTGTCCCACCAATTATTTTTCCCTCTTTTTATTTTACTACTATCCCACGAAACGGGGCTCCTACCCGAGCCCATTAATCTGCTATTGTCCAAGTCATATCGTTCTCAAAGATCCAGTGGCAAACCTCAATCTTTCCGGGTCCTGAACCCAATGCAATAAATGCTCCATGACCCGGGCTCCAAGATGAGGTGTCCAAATGACAAATGGCAACACCGTTATTAATTTTGGCCCTGGATTTCGGATCCAGAATAACCGCTTCGTAGACCCGGACTTTTGGAACCGAGTGGCAATAGTAGAGCATGTAAGGGAATAGGCTCTGATGACACGAGACTGACTTGGTGACTTTTCCACCGTTGACCCCTTTGACTTTCCCTATTGTGATATTACCATTTGACCCTCGGGTATTCTCTGTTGTGTGGACCACCACGTTCCGCCCTAGGACGGAAGTCGAAAAGTCGATCATGTCCTCGATCGATGCCACGCACCTCTTCGTCTCGTGGGGGCTTGGTTTTCTCTCGCACTCGTTTAGTGTATTTGTTAGTATATTAGCCATGCTGGAATCTTGGCCAGCATGGAAAATCTTTTCCATTTCACGGATTTTGGAGGTCGAAAAGGGTAATTTGGAAATAATTGCCCGGGGTAGAAACGACCTTTTGGGCAATTTGTCGCGAATGTCTGGCATAGGCATGACAATACCACTCTTCAACATTGACTCCCTAAAGAACTTCCCCGGCTCCACCACCCATTTATTTACTTTTTTGCCCCTGGCTGCCAATGAAGCCACTACGGCGGGGGAGCTCTCGTTGGTGTAGCTGGCAAACGTGACGCCTTTTTTGGCGTATTGTTTGAAAGTGGTGCCTTGACCATAAACCTTAAAGTCAACGGCTTGGCCCATTGCATGTTCGCCGTAACCGGTAAATTTCGAGCTGCCGTCATTGAAGGACTGGCCGTAATTCTCGAAACCCAACTCGGCGGCGTTGGATTTCTTGCCGTAGGATTGGAAATTGTCTTGTCCGGTATTGGAATCGTTTCTGTAACTCTTGAAACTCACGACCGCACCGTTTTCCTCTGGTCCGTAATTCCTGAAAGTATTTTCGGGGACATTCGTATCGTCACCGTACGAGGTGAAAGTGTGGTGGCCCCCGTTTGCCGTTTCTCCGTAATTCTCGAAACTCGAGGCCATAACATTAGAACCCTTGCCGTAGTTGGTGAAGCCATTGGCGGCGCCGTTGCCGTTTTTGCCATAGCTGGTGAATTTCTGGTCGCCGTGGTTTGCGTTGCCGGCGTACTCAGCGAATGTTTGTTTCCGACCGTTGCTGTTGTCTGAGTAGGCGGCAAAGTTGAGGTTTGGGACGTTTGATTCGTCGTTGTAGCTAGTGAACTGGCCGTCGCCGGCGGCGGCAGTAGTGCCATAGCCTTTGAAGCTCTCGTCCGGCACGTTTGTGTCGGTGGCGTAGGCGGCAAACTTGTCGGTGTGGGCGGTGGAGTTGCGGCTGTAGCGGCGGAAGTTGTTGGTGACGACGTTGCCTCCGTCGGAGTAGTTCTTGAAAGAGTCAGCTCCGCCGAGCCTGCCGGTGCCGTAGTTGGTGAAATTCTGGCCGTCGAGGAGGTACGAGGTGAAGTTGACGTTGTCGTTGTGTTTTTCGAGGCTTGGAGATAAATCGGGGAAGCAGAGGAGATTGGCTTTGTTGCAGAAATCGGAGAGATTGGCGGAGAGGGAGTTGCGATCGGTGGCGGCTAGTTTGTAAAAGGCGGCGGATTGGGCGGCGGTTAGCGGCGAAGCTTTGTCAAACAAGAACGACGGCTTGGGGAAGTTGTTGGAGATTTGTTTGTTCCAGTAACGGATCAGATAGGCCTTCGGAGTGAACGGGTTTTCTCCGGCTACGCCCAACGCCACCTGCATGTATTCACGTAGACCAAACACACACACACACACACGCATTAGTATATACAGAAAACACAAGAAGAGATTAATACAAGACAAGAAAATAGGAACAAAATTAAAGACTTATTATTGATAAAGGGCTAACGTTAAAAGATGGAGCATAGTGCAAGGTGGCGAAGAGGAGGAGGAGGAGCATTTTTTAGAGAGAGAAAGAGAGGAGTGAGAAAGTTGGTGGATTGGTTCTTTGGTAAGAGTTGGGTGTTTGTGTTTATATAAAGGGTAGATATTAGGGTTCATTTGTGTGATCTTTTGAAAATTAGGGCAGTTGTTGTTGGAAAGATGGCGGATTTTCTATCCAATTTTAGGTATCACACTTTATGTTATGGAGTATTAGTAATTTCTGATCTTGTCACACTTTTGTTGTTACACTTGATTTTGTGCTTCAATTCGGAAACAATTAGTTTTAGTGGTGGGCTATTTTGAATACCAATATTTTCTCACTTTACTACCTATTAGTTAAAGATCACATTTTTTTCCTACTTTTTCTTAGATGAAGACCACAAATTACAACAATACCCTCCCCTAATATAACTTATACAAAATTAGGGAAAGGTCGATAATTACTAGGAAATATGTATGTTGAGCATGGAATCTTGATTAATTGTTTACGTGTTACCTTCATTTGGTCGATTTTTGTTTGAATTTAGTTTGAGATTTTGCAGGTATTGTTCGACCTGAATTTGTCGAATTTTGATCACGAAGTAGATAGAAATTTGTCTAATTATCCCACCTATATGTACAAGTACAACCCCCTATACGAGAGGTACAACCAGCTTATTGTCAACTGCATTTCACTAATTGCCACTAATGTCATAATTTCTATGATTTTGTGTCTAATGCAAAACAGGTATTCATTCATTCACTATATATAAATGAAGTAATATTAAAATTCATCAGTTTATTTGTCTGTTTCTCTGTGTGTGTGTGTGTGTGTGTGGAATATAATTCAGACAGTTAATTTTGTGGCTTAAAAACTATATAAAAGGTTGTTTTTATATATTCTCGTAAACAAATAAATAGTGACCGTAGAAGTTATTCTTTGCCCATCACTTTTGCTATCCTTTAAATTTTTCATCCACATCTCCCCATTCTTTTTATCTTTTCATTTTGTCTCTATTTAAATTAAAAGTATAATTTATTATTATTATTTATTTATTGTAAGTAATTAAAAGAAGAAGTTTATCTGGGTAATTAAGTTCGGGAATTCAAAATCCTAACACAATAAAAACTCCTATTAAACAAAAAAAAAAAAAAAAAAAAAAACAGATATTCTCTTCGCATATCCCTCCGTATTTTATTTTCTCTCTCTAAATCTCCATATTTTCTCTCTCAAGAACAACCACCATTGGTTTTCTTATCTAAAGGTACGTAGTACTAACAACTACTGTAGCAAAATCGAATTTGTATTGATTTATCTTTTTCGTCACGTGGTGACGTTTATAATACAATTTCCTGCTAATTTTTTTTTTTTTTTAATTTTGCAATTAATTTTCTCAGTAGTGTTGGTATTTAATTTGAGGCAGGAGTTATGGCTGGAAAATTGATGAAGTGCATGTGCATGAAGATATGCTGCATCGGCGAACACGTGGTAATTTCTTTTATCCTTGTTAACTTGATTATTCCCTTTTTTTTTCAAAAAAAAAAAAATCATTTTTGTAAATGTAGGGTTCTGAAAAGTGAAAACTCAAAAAAAAAAAAAGGGGGCTTACTTTGTTGAAGTAGTGTAGCCCACTTCAGCTGGGCCTTTGTTTTTGGTCCAAATTATTTAGCTTTCTGCTAAATTTATTCATCAATTATTGGAAATTAAATTGTTTGGGATTTTTTCAGACACAGGAAATGAAAAAGGACACATACGAGGAAGCCATTGAAGGCCTGGAGAAGCTTCTTAGGTATTTAATTTTTTTTTTTTATATATTAATTTGTACAATGAAAGGCGATTTCTTTCTTAGGTCTTGTAAAATTTTCGGGATTGCAGTGAGAAAGACGAGCTGAAGTCGATCGCCGCCGCAAAGGTGAGGCGGTTGACGGCGGAGTTGGCCGGGCCAGCTGAAATTGGGGCCGTTGAGTCTGATCCGGTTAAGAGGATCCAAACCGGGTTCGACCACTTCAAGAAAGAGAAATACGAGTAAGTACTGTTTTTAATTATGGAATTTACATATAAAAAACACTCGCTAGGGTTTGTACTTTGTGCAGTGGAGTTGGTACCTTAATAGTTCTTATTTTTCATATTTTTTAAACTTCCGCTTGTATTAAATTTAATTTATTGTCTACTAAGGAACATTTTTGTTATTTTATTTAAAAAACAAGAAATAAATAAAATTCTAATATTTGAACTGTTAGGAAGCAAATTGCTTTGTATTGGAAGCTTGCCCAAGGCCAAACACCCAAGGTATTTTGATTGAGAATATATTTATTTTATATTTTTTTTATAATCGACAGTAATTAATTAAATGTTTACCTGCAGTTCTTGGTTTTCGCGTGTTCGGATTCACGAGTATGCCCGTCACACGTGCTGAATTTCCAACCGGGGGAGGCCTTTGTGGTCCGAAATGTAGCCAACATGGTTCCATCATTTGATCAGGTATCGTATAATCCTTTATTTTATTTTATTACTGTATATTTTTCAAGTTAATAAATTCAAATTCATTACATATGTGCAAGGTTTTTTTCTTCGCTTTTCGTATTTATTATTGTGTATTGCAGAATAAATATTCCGGAGTCGGAGCTGCCATTGAATTTGCATTACTAGAGCTTAAGGTACCAAGCCCCTTCGCACAAGTCAAATTAAATTACGATATTTCATATTAATATTTATTTGAAAAAATTGACGCGTTATCTCACCCTTTTCGTTTTTGTTTATGAATTTGCGATTACGAAAAAAAGGTGGAAAATATATTGGTTATCGGACATAGCTGTTGTGCTGGCATTAGAAACCTAATGTCAGTTCCCGATGATGGCGCCACTCGAAGGTTCGTATAATTCTGTGCAGTTGAGTTATTTTAGAAAATATTCTGAATAACAAAATTAATCTGGCATAAACTAATTGCATTATGGTTCGATTATATGCAGTTTATGCTAATTACGGTGTCATTTATTTATTTATTTTATTAAATCGAAACATTCACAAATCGACTGATCCCCAAATTATAAGCAGTGATTTCATCGAAGGTTGGGTGAGCATTTGCAAGGCTGCTAAAGCAACGGTACAAAAGCAATCGAGCCATTTATCTTTCGATGATCAATGCACCCATCTCGAGAAGGTAAAAACTAATTTAATTTAATTTTTTTTTTAATGCCTGAAAATTAATTGGCATTTTGTTCGAACATTTGTTGTCCGAAATAGGAAGCTGTAAATATATCACTGGCAAACTTGTTAAGCTATCCGTTTGTGAACGAAGCTGTTGTGAAGAAGAAAACGCTTTTATTGAAAGGAGCGCATTACGATTTTGTCAAGGGTTCGTTCGAGCTTTGGGATTTGAACTCTAAGACATCCTCTTTTCTTTGGAAGTGAGTTTTGAGGTACTACGTTTTTTTCCCGTGCGTATATTGTAAGACTATGGTTACGAAGCTAATTACTTTTAAATATACCATGGTTACGAAGCTTACTTTTACGCGACTTTATCGAATTTTTGCTAATACGGGATTTTGCTATTAACTCTCGAACAATTTAACCATAGAAAATGCAACACCCGAAAATCACTTCACATATGACAACAAAATACTTGAAAACGACTATTTAAAAGAAGAAATTCGACATTTATTCGCTGAAAAACACTCCACGAGACAAACACTTGCGGTTTCAGTTTTAGAAGTTTTTAAGGAATCGGATATACGACGACCTTCCCGGAAGCTCGATTAGTCTCGAGATACGAGAAAGCTTCCTTAACCTTATCGAAAGGAAACTGTCCCTTAGGATCGATCAATGGCTTCACTTTTCCACTCTCCAAATACGGATTCAACTTCTTTAAATACTCTCCGCTCGAAGTCAGCACAAAATGGAAAGCGGGCCGGTCAACGGGCGGGCCCGGAATAACGGATACTACACTACCACTTTCTTTCACCACCTTCACTGCCCTATCATTTTGCCCTATTCATAGTCAAACCACAAAAAACGAAAAAACTTCGAGTTAATAGTTAGGGTTTTATTGCATTCGACACCCCTGTATTTTCTCTAGTTGTCAAAAAGACACCCATGTTATTTTATTAGCGAAAAAACCCCTATGATTCATCTTTTTAGCAAACTACCCCTAAAAACTCACCGTTTAGTGGGTTTTGTGCTAAAAAAATGCATTATAAGGGGGTTTTAATTTATCTTACCAACAGCATCATAAACTACATCAAATTTCTCAGGCAGGTCTTCAAAGTTTTCCTTAGTGTAGTCGATAGGTAAATCGGCCCCCAACTTTTCAAGAAGTTCCAATTTCGCCGTGCTTGAAGTCGCAGCAACTTTCGAAGCACCAAACACGTGCTTCGCAAGCTGCACACATCACCAAACACGATAATAAATACGAGTACATGTTAATAATTCTTTGTTTGTACTAGGATGTTTGTAAGTTGTAACAGTTTCCACCTGAATAACGAAGGATCCAACGCCACCGGCACCACCAAGAACAAGAATGGATTTCCCATCGGAAAAACGAGCCCTTTCGAGACCTTCGTAGGCCGTCTCAATCGCCATGGGAATCGACGCGGCTTGTCCGAAATCGAGATTCTTCGGCTTTAACGCCAATAATTTCTCGTCTGCAACCGTGTACTCGGCTAATGTACCGATTTGTTTCGGCCCATCAAATGCTTTCTCAATTATATCTCCGTACACTTCATCTCCTACTTTCAGCTGCTTCACTTCACCCCCTACTTTAACCACCACCCCTGCCACGTCATACCCCGGAACTATCTGGAAAATGCTCAAACATCATTAATTCATTGATCCAAATTAATTAAATTAATTACATGAAAATTGGGAAATTAATTAATTGATTAATTAATTACAGGAAGAGGCGAATCGGTGGACTTGAAAAACCCTAGCCTCCTCTTGTAATCGATAGGGTTAAGAGCGGCGGCGAAAACCTTAATCAGGACCTGATCGTCCGCCGGCTCCGGCAATGGAACGTCGGATTCGAGTTTCAACACCTCAACGCCGCCGTACTCGCTGTAACGCCACGCCTTCATTTTTTCTTTTTTCTTTTTTTCAATACAAAGGAATTGTTGATGCACTGACGTAAAAGATGATTCGTTCATATTTCGAGCGATTTATAGAATGGTGGATTGACTCCGCCATTAGCGCCACTCACAAAAGCTTCTTTTAATGACGTTACATCACCTGATTTAAATAATTGGGGTTACTGTTGAATTACCCATAATTAAAGGGGTTTATTCGTTAAATATTTGGTGTGTTGATGATTGTTAGGATAAGTTAAATTATTTCCACTTTTTATTGCACATTCAATGCATCTAGACATTACTTATTTTTCCTTAATAGTACTATACTTTAGTTGTTCAAAAGATAATTAAGGAAAATAAAATGAGTATGTTCACAATATTGTCAATAATAAAATTAGGGTAAATTACGAAAAACCCCATGAACGTAGGCTAAATGACAAAAAATACCCCCACCTATTTGTAAATACCAAAAACTCACTTATGTTTGTTTCCGTCTTACACCAACCCCCTTACAGTAGGACTTTTCATGGATTTATTTTGATTCCTGTACACGTTTTCTATTAGAAAACTCGATCAACGGTTAATCAGAGGGGGTTTTGGTTATTACGAATAGGTTGGGGTATTTTTTGTTATTTAGCATAAGTTCAGGGGAGTTTTGTAATTTACCCAAAATAATAAAATGAAATTGTTTTATTATTTTTTTATTTATTTATACGTGCGACAAACAGAAATACTTGAAAGAAGTAATAATTCCATTCTCAGTGTCTGAAATAATAAGCTTAGTACTCTTTTAAGGAATCGGGTATATGACCACCTTCCCGGAAGCTCGATTAGTCTCGAGATACGAGAAAGCTTCCTTAACTTTATCAAAAGAAAACGGTCCCTTAGGATCGATTATCGGCTTCACTTTTCCACTCTCCAAATACGGGTTTATTTTCTTTAAGAAATCTCGGTTCGAAGTGAGCACAAAATGAAATGAAGGTTGAGCAATTGGAGGACCGATACCAGCAGCGGTAACTACTATACCACCTTCCTTCAACGCCTTCACCGCCCTATCGGTTTGCCCTGTTGAAGGAAGGTAGTATAGTAGTTACCGATGCAAAATCTCTCTTTCTTACTCTATTCTCTTCGCTCTCCCTCCCTACAATATTAGATCGAGGGTTACATTGTGCAATGGAGCCCCTTTTATCTTTTAAGTTATCTACCAAAAAATAAAATCAACAAGCTCAAAATTTTATTTCAATTAAATGACATAATTTTCACCTAGATTGAAAAATAATCTTAGTATAAGTTGACATGTGACAATTTACATGAACAAAACTTTAATTTCATCCGAGAAAGAAAATGGGTATTTTAATTACAGTATATATCACAATATACACCAATAAGTTAATTTATTTATATGACAACACATATAACAAACAGAAAAATCCACACTACCAAACCATGGTCCAAACTCAACCACACCACACCCACTGCATATATATCAACTTTTATTATGACATATCATATTATATAATATAATATTATATTATATATGCAGCAATTATTAATTCATTCCTTTTCATTCTTTATAACACTTGTCTCCATCACAAACCCACTCTTGTGCTGCAGTTTTGTCTTTGCTCTCTTCATCAAAAGCGCACTTTGGATGCAAATCAAAATCGCACTTCTCACAATAATAAGACCACACACTCCCATCTTCACTACAACCATCACACACAAAATTCTTCCTCTTAGTAAGGAAAAGCTCGTGCCCGTGGGCCCCGCACTTCAGATTCGGGGCCCACCCCGCCAAAATTTTCTCGAACGCCTTTTCGATCTCCTCGATTCTCTCTCTAGTGAAAGGATAAGCCTCCGCACCGTGGGCCATGATAAGCCCGCGGGCATCGGTGGAAACCGTTTTTCCCGTGGGCCCCAATGCAACGAGTGTTGGGATTCCATCCACCTTGAACCAACTGCTCAAAGATTCCTTCCTCTTGTCGCCAAACGGGAGTGCTAGCCATGGCATCTCCGAGAAGTAATCCTCGAACGCTTTTTGATCTCTATCGCTTGAGATGAATATCACTTCTAATCTTTTATTGTTTTTGTTGATTTCTTCATATGCTTTTGTGAGTGTGGGGAGAAACGCACGGCATGGACGGCACCAATGGGCCGAAAAGTATAGCAAGATGTCTTTCCCGTTAAGATCGGAAACCGGAACCTGAAAATTAAAAAAATAAATATTCGTGTTAGCATTAACCATAATCCCATTTTCTAAATAAAAATAAAAAAGTGATCTTTTTTTATCATTTTTTACCTTGACTCCAGCTTCTCCGATAACGTAATCGGAATCTTGATTCACCAAAAGGGATTCGAGTGTTTGAGCTTCCCTCTTCGCCTTTTCGATCTCTTCAAGCTCGATGAATTTCTCGGGTGTGAAAGGATAAGCCTTCATACCGTGTTCCTCGATTGCTTCAACAACGTTTGACTGAAGTGTCTTTCCATTTGGACCGATAATAACCACAGTTGGGAGGGCACCGAGCTCGAAATACCGAACTAGCTTGAGGCAGCATTTGTCATTTATAGGCAATGATAACCATGGCAACTTTTCAAACTCTTCACCAAACGATTCTTCATCTTCGTCTAGGGGTACCATCACAATTTCGAAACTTTCTCCCCCTTCTCTCAAACTGTTGTACACTTCGATAAGCTTCGAATTAAAATCTAAGCACCCGTAGTAACTGGCCAATACGAAATACAATCCCACCGTCTTTCCTTCCAGCTCAGCAACAGGAACCTTTGCACCAAAAAAAAATCGGGAATGTCAATATTACACGTAAACTCCCCATGTTATTTTATTAGTGAAGAACCCCCTATGATTCAATTTTTTGAAGCAAACTACCCCCTAAAAACTCACTATTTACGGGGTTTTTTGCTGATATTTATAACACGGGGGAGTTGTTAGCAATTCGATATAACATAGGTGATACTAAAATAAAATACAGTCGTATTATACTAACTGAAAAACCATCAAATACTAATAAAAGATTTCACCTTTTTCCCATCAGATGTAATAACATAGTCCCTGGATTCGGTCACAAGTAAAGATTTTAAGGATTGATTCATCTTAGCTTCTTCTTCTTGTTTCCTGAGTTTCTCGATTTGCTCGGAAGTAAAAGGGTACCCGTCGGACCCGTTTTCTACAATGACTTGTACTCCTTCACTCGTCAATATCTTCCCATCCTCGTTAAGGATTACGAGGTGGGGTATTCCACTCACACCGAACAATTCATTCAATTTCTCGCGTGTGTCAGAATCGGAAAACGGAATTGCAAGCCAAGGCATTTTGGAGAAATAAGCATCGAATGACTCATCATCTTCGTCGCCAGATATAAAAACAATCTCAAAGTTGTTACTTTGAGCTAGTTCATTGTAGGCCTCGACTAATTTCGGGGTGAACCGCTGGCACGGACCGCACCACGACGCGGAGAAATACAGCCCGGTTACCTTCCCCTTAAAACTATCGAATTTAACCTACGGAATTTAACAGAAAAACTCTAGCCATTGAACGAAACCAAGACGGGTATAAATCATTAATCAGTAAATACTTTTTGATTTGCCACTAAATGTAATCAAGCGTTGACTTTCATTTCCTTAAGCACATATATCAAATTTAAGAGTTAAAAAAATTGGATCTTTCTACAAAGGGATATTAAATAACCAAAAAATGGATACAATCAATTCAAGAAATAAACTAAAAATCAAGTGTAATCAAGTGTTGACTTTCATTTCCTTAAGCACATACATCAAATTAAAGAGTTAAAAAAATTGGATCTTTATACAAAGGGATATCAAATTAAAGAGTTAAAAAAATTGGATCTTAATACAGAGGGATATCAAATTAAAGAGTTATAAAAATTGGATCTTTATACAAAGGGATATCAAATTAAAGAGTTAAAAAAATTGGATCTTTATACAGAGGGATATCAAATTAAAGAGTTATAAAAATTGGAACTTATACAAAGGGATATCAAATAACCCAAAATTGGATACATACAATCAACTTCAAGAAAGAAACTAAAAATCAAGAATTCAAAATTGCAACTTGCAACCAACAAATAGCAAAATCCCAATTGGTCTGAAAAAATAACAAAAGACATGAGTACGAGGAGATTACCTGGTCACCATTGTTGCGGACAAGGTAATCCCTGTTTGGGGAGGACAGAATAGAACTGAGATCATACGTGGCATCTCCATTGGCAATCTCAAGCTCACTCTCCATTAGGGATTGCAAAAAACAAAAATGAGAAAGAGAAAAAAAAAAACCCAAATCTTTGATTGAAGTATGTCACCGCAAGATTTCAGACAGCAATTTATAGTTAGGGAAGGGGAAAAAAAATACATACACCCACGATTTATTTTCAGAACTTTCTTGCGAGACTAAGATGAAGTCGCAATCAAGAACGTGGAAATATTTTATTATATTTGGTATTGACTTGTTATTTAGTCAATGTCAACTATAATATTATAGTTAGAACAAGATGCTTTCTTGTACCAAATAACGATTTAGTACAAGATGCTTTGCTTAATCTTGATGCTTAATTGTATGAATGGGGAAGAAGACTTTATTTGATTGGTATTTACTATTTAGTCATGGTACATTACATAATTATATATATATATATATATATATATATATATATATATATATATATATATATATATATATATATATAT